TATTTTTTTTTTCATAAAATCAAAAATTTGTAATTTCAGTTTATAGATAACTTTTTTTTGGGCATAATTATTTTGCAAAGTAAGTATAATAAATAGTAATTAATATGTTACATTTGCACCTGTACGCTCTAAAAAGTACATTTAAATATACTACTGAAAAGTAGTAACAGGAATCTGTATAAATATATGTACGTATAAGATGTTCAAGATTTGATTTTGAACTTGAAATCTTTAAAATATACACATAAATATCCACATTTTCAAATTAAAAATACATTTCCTACAAATAATAAACATTGGGCGCTCACATGTACTCTATTTTAAACATTTTATGAGTAATTTTGCTCTTCGCGACAAAATTTGGCATGTAAAGGTAAACAGGCAGTGTTTAATTTTATTACACAGTGTACAAATTTTCAAACTTTAAGAGGTTATCTCTCTTAATATGCGCAAATAAACGAAAAAATAATTTTAGAGTGTATTTAAAGTCTTTTCAGTAAAATTCATACAAATTTTAAACTACATTGAAATCATCTTTCTTTTTAAATTAACAAATGAAAATATGTGATATGAAAGAGATTACTACAGAAAGAGTATATATCTTTATATATATATTAAGATCTTGGTTAAGCATCCTTTTTAGTTAATTAAAAGAATTGCGCTTTACACTACTTTGGTGAGATCTCTTCATATGTTCATTGCTTCAATCACAAAAAATAAAATTCTCTAATTTCACGCTTAATTAGTGATTTTTAGTTTACATTTAGAAAACTTAATGCTTTCTACCATCTTTAATGAAAATAGCCTTTTGAGAGAAAACAAACAACTTTATAGAAAATATAAAATTTTGGCCTATTTAAAAAAGTATCCACATTTACATACATATACTGATTGGGAAAAATAAGTATCTCGAAAAAATTCGTAAAAAATGCGCAATGTTGCGCGAATTATTAATGTATCACGTTCTGTGTGAATTTCTAGCAAGATATTATCAGTTTGGCAATTGCAACATTGTTGCAAATTTTCATCAGTGCGGCGGTAATGCCGCTCTTATTACGTGCCGCGAACAGGCCCGTAGTAATGCATCCGTGCGTGATAAATAATGCAATGCATTTATTATGAGTTCTAGATTCTATTACTGTTTACTATGTAATCAGCATTCTAATGTATCCAAAAAGTCCCAAAAAATTCATATTAAATCACATTCATTCCTCGATACTAGGTAATGCAAAACTTTTCCTAGGACATCGCTGGTTTACTGATTATTTTTTAGATGGCCAAACATTATATTTTGTCACTGGCTATTAGGGATGTTAATTTTTTCGCTTTTTGCGATCCCGGAATCCCGGGATTTAGATATTCATTATTTTTCAATAACTTAAATCGAAAAAAATGCTTCAATATTTTTTGAGAAGCAATCCAATCAAAAAAATAAATAATAAATAAATGGGTTTGAAAGCTACTTTTTTATTTAAAGTGAAAATTATTTCATAAGTAACAACACAAAAGCCAGTAAATTAATGTATACACATTTAATATTACTTTGTGTGTACATATGTATATCGAAAAAAGCTCGATGCAAAAAATTTAAGTTAACAAATGTATATTGTGGTTGAACGAATTTCATATCTACATACTAGTGGTAAAATAAGAAAAACGCCTTTTGTTCATTTGTGTTTAATGTTTAAATTTTTTTGTTAAATATCTTTTTCATTATACATATGTATAACACCGTGCGATAGTAAATTTTTAGTTTTTCTCTCTAACGCCAGGGTTTATTTTAAAGGACTTTGTTATTTCAAAGATATGATTAATTCCAAAAATTATTTAAAAAATTCAATAGAATGTAAAATAAAAATATGGGAACCAAATGAAAGATGAAATTTCTTTAGAATTTAGAAAAATTAAAATTTTTTAGTTTCACAAGGACGAATTGGTAATTTTTTAAACTTGATAAAGTTAGAAAGACGAAATTCGAGGATGCTATCGAGTTTCTCTAAGTCCTTAACAATTCGAAATCCACCAAGTAAGAAAGTCTAAGTTCGGGCGGAGCCGCACATTAAATACCCGGCGCAAGTATTAAATATATGTTTTTTCACCTTTCCGCAACCTACCGATAGATGGTAAGCCGGGATGTATCAATTTTGAGTAAATTAGCGTCCTTAAATTTCGAAATATTGCAGTTTCAAGCATTTCTGCAATTTACCGTTATATGAAAAGCGGCCGTAATTTTAGTCCGATTTCAATAATTTTCAACGTTTTGCTTTTATGTGGCAAGCATAAAAAAAATACCGAGTTTGGTACAAATCGGTAGAACGGTTACCGATATATATATATGTGATTATAAGTGGGCGGTGCCACGCCCATTTTCTCAAATTTTAGTATAAACGTATTTCGTGGTAAAGAATTGTTGCAAGCATCAATTTTGAATAAATTAGCTTTAATATTTACTGATTTATCGAAGATTTCATATTTCTCTAAATTACCCTTATATGGAATGTGGGCGTGGTTATTGTCCGATTTTAAAAATTTTCGGCGATTTGGTATGCTGTACCAAGGCCAACAACTGTGCCAAGTTTGGAAGAAATTGGTGCAGCGGTTACCAAGATATACACATGTAACCATAAGTGGGCGTGGCTACGCCCATTTTCCAACAATTTATAATATTCTTACTTTTCGTCTAAAAATTATTGTAAATATCAATTTTAAGTGAATTATCTTCAGTTTTCAGATATCTCAATTTTTGCTCGAGTTATCGTGTACACGGACGGACAGACAGACGGACGGGCAGGCAGGCATGGCTTAATCGACTTCTCTATTCATTCTGAGCATTTATGTGTACATTTGTCTATATCTACCTCGATTCGTTTTGGCTGTTACAAACAACCGTTATGTGAATAAAATTAATATACCCTTGTGCACAAGTGCGCTCGGATATAAAAATTAAATGCCCCACTACTGTTAAGTGGCTCATGCCTCTAATTCTTGTCTAATCCAAATATTATTAATACTACTTACTGTAGTAACCCCTTACTACGTACATTAGTAAGGATTAGACACATGAGCCACTTAACAGTAGTATGGGATTTTTATTTATTTTTTTTTGAATTACATCGTTATTGCAGAGGACCATCGATATAATTTTTTCAAAAATTAATATATATATTCCAGAATTTCAAGGATATTCACAAGGATAAAATTTTAAACGGAAATTTTCAATACTTACCCGTCCTTGTACACAAAAAAGTTGAATCTTGTTAAATTTTACAGAATTTTCTCTTTAATTTGGTGCCCATACTTTTTCTCTAAGCACACTTCACTGGTTTTTTTAAAACATTTTTGAAATAGTGACGTCGTATAATGAGCTAGACTTTTATAAAAAACATATTGATTATTAAATAAAAAAAAGAACTATAGCCAACACTGGCCAACAAAAGGAGATTCTATTATTGCCACCAACGCAAATTAAAAATCCCGAAAATCCCAGGATTATTTGCCAAGAATACCGAGATTTTCGGGACATAAAAAAGGCCGGGATCCCGAGATCCCGGGATTAACATTCCTACTGGGTATAGATGTACGAAAGACGTACTGTCGGCAAAATGTAAGTTTTTAAGGGACAAATTTATCTGTGCTTTAAAACTTGCATAATTTAAATGGTACGTTAAGCGTCTTTCTGCGAGATTTCTGCATATTTGGTGAAGTTAAAGAGCTCCTACTTTACGGGCGAGCTGTTAAAATAAAATTTTGTCCAAATTTTTTGACCGCTGAAGGTGGTGCAAAGCAGAGTTTGAAAAAACCGAGCCCGACCTACCCAAAAGCCGCACGTAAATTACAGAGGGTCCATTATGACGTCAGCTTCCTACTGTCGCCGTACTACATATACCAAATGAAACAAAAAANAGCAAAACCGAGCCCGACCTACCCAAAAGCCGCACGTAAATTACAGAGGGTCCATTATGGCGTCAGCTTCCTACTGTCGCCGTACTACATATACCAAATGAAACAAAAAATGTTGTGTTCATGAACTTTCGTATGTAATTTTTTATATTTCTTCATTCTTAAAAACAAATGGCCTTATTCATAAAAAATAAAATAGATTTATAGACCTCTATAAAGTGACATTTTCATATAAATTTTCGATTTATAAAGCAGTTAAAGTCTTCATTATTTTTTATGAATTTGAGTGAAAATATATTGAGCGCTAATTAAACTATTCTTATAGCAAAAATTTATATCTCAAATTTCGAAATATCTAGGAAATTTGGCCCAGTTTTCTCTACTGCTTTAGCAAATAACTAATAATGTTAGTCAGAGATTTATTTGAATTTTTCCGAAAACACAAGATTTTTTGTACATATACATATGTTAAGTTTTTAACCGACTACAAAAAAGGAGGAGGTTATCAATTCGTCGGAATATTTTTTTTGATGTATGTTACTGCATAACTTCGGACCACGTTAACCGATTTCGATAATTCTTTTTTTTTATCGGAAAGGTGGTACCTCAAGGGCGGTTAAATACTAATTTGGTTTGGTAAACGAGAATTCACAATAGGCGGGCGAAGATTAATAATAGCAACTTAGTTTTCAAAATTAAATATAAATTACTCTAACGATAAATTCCTTTCGTATTTAGGAAATAATCACAGCCATATTTACTAACTTATGTAAGTATATAATATATAGTATACATGTGCATGTATATAGGCAACGTATCATGCTTTCCAGCATGCCGTATCTCCGCATAAATCGAAGTGTGCTCCGATGGGATGTCTTCTTAGTTGTCAGCGAATTCTAGACCATTGAAATCTATTTCAAGCATCCAACGCCACGCTGAAGTACTAGCTCATCNTATGTATATAGGCAACGTTCCATGCTTTCCAGCATGCCGTATCTCCTCATAAATCGAACTGTGCTCCGATGGGATGTACACCTGAAATGTGTATGTACATATGTAAATGTCTTCTTAGTTGGCAGCGAATTCTAGACTATTGAAATCTATTTCAAGCATCCAACGCCACGCTGAAGTACTAGCTCATCCATATTTGGCTCTGGGCTAGAAGCATTCGATGAAATTGTCGAATCATAGCTCTCCTCCCTTTCGCGCTTCTCGCGACGCTGACGGGCGCGCCTGTTTTGAAACCAAATTTTGACGCGCGTATTCGTCAACTCCAGCGACTCGGCCAACTGATTGGCCTCCTCGGCGCTCAAGTAGTTAGACGTGCGATAGGTATTTTCCAAAGCCTCCAATTGTGTGGGTGTAAATGGGATGCGAGGCAGACGGCCGGGCGTGCGTTTGACTGGCGGTTGACGCAAGTTGCCTATAGAAAAAATAGAAGACCACATTTTATGATACTAACTAGGAATGATTTAATGTGCCACTTACGTGGCAAACGCGGCGGATGGTAGCGAGTGTAGTGCAACCAATCGAACATCGGTATTTGCTCGACACTTGCATTGTTGAAGCCAGCGATCGTTGCGTCCACTACACCGGCTGCAGCAATACTGGCCATTTCCATAGCTGCAACAGAATTGTAATTGTTGAAAGCTTCCTGTTGGTAACGATGCTGCTGCTCTAATTTAATACGGTCAGCAATGCAGATAGAAGCATTGGTGCCGATATATCTTTCGCCGGCACGATTTAGTATATAGTCAATGCTAAAATCGCTCATTTTCACATGCGGCTCGTTGTGAAAAACTCTTGTAAGAGGAGAAAATTTCTTTGAACCCGACGCGTTTGCAAATTAAAGTGAACTAAAACGACCTTGGCAAATGCAGTGCCTTTTTAAGGATCCTGCAAGAGACACGGTATGTGTGCCGCCGCCATTGCAATGCTCTAATTAGCCTAAGCGTACGCTATCTCTTTCTGATGCATAAGCGGTCTACATATCCTTGTTATCCTTGCACAACACAGCACAGCACAGCACAGCAAAAGTATGCCCTAATTCTGGTAAAGCATATGGATATCTTATTCAATTTAAAATCATTGAGGCATTATTGTTACTTTAATGGGCGTTACCCTCCGCTAAGAGACCACAAATGAAAGCCAGCAAGCCTACCGCAGGCAAAAAGACAATGTGCGTGTTTGAAGCATTGTAATACATTTGTTTTCAGGTAGCTCCATTTATTATCTTTCAGATGCGATTAGCACAAATTGAAATGCGGTTAGCCCGCTATGACCACTTCGGATGCGCTCATGCAAATAATGATGCACAAAATCAGGGGTTGATCCTTGCAATCGTTCACTTTCATTCATAAGTCAGGCGGAATCGACATACACAATGTATATACATATATGTACATATTATACAAGTCTACATGCGATGATCGTCGATGGGAAAACAAGTTTAGCGGTATATCTCAAATATTTTGATTGATATGAGATTGTTTTCGAATACACATACCGACAACAATGAATACAGTTAATTCGCTAAAAAGTATCAATTACAATGAATGAATCAAAATATTGTTATCAGAATCGTTACAAACATACATGCATATAAGCTTACATCTGTGGTCATAAGCAATAACCGCCTAAGTCGAAAAACCTGAATTCGAGAAAACAGAAACGTTTTAAACATTTGGATTGTAATGTTGTAACTAAGGTAACTTTTTAAATAGCCTAGCTGGCGATATGGGGTTTTCACATTCACATGGACAAGTAGTTGCAGGATACGATAGCATATATAACTCAACTCTTTCTTAAGCCGACTTAGGCGGTTATTGCTTATGACCACAGATAAATATATCCATACATGGATATATATTTTATATGTACATACGTATGCACTTACTTATGTACAGATTATACTTTTAAATAAAATTAATTCCAATAATTTGCCATATGGGTGTTTTCATGTTGTCCGACCGACATTCGTACGACTTTAGATTGAAATAAATCATACGATAACGATATGCCGTTGTGTAGCTTTTATACCGGTGCTTCGAGCACTGGTGTCGGGTCATAACGTCATAGCGATAGTTTAGTATACTTCGTAGAGTAAAAACTGGCTCAGAAGCACAAAGGAGAAGAAAGGCTGTCTGGGCCATGCCTCATGAGCGTCCATAGAAAACTCATTACCGAAAATCGCAAAATGAGTCAGAAGGAAATATTTAATCGAAAAATTTGCTGAAACGTTTGTTGTAAGCCGAGACGTTTGCTGTTAGCGTAAAAATGATTAAATAAATAATATATCATAAAAATTAACAAGTATATTTTTACATATTTATAACCCTCATATAACTATAACATTTACGCCCGCATAAAACTATATAAGTTTACCCTAACGGAATGTTCTATCGAAGATGTTTGAAATAGGGATAAAACCACTCCTGCTTATCACGTAGCGGTAGTTTTCGGAAAGGTAGAAAAACTATATTTAATACTTGCGCCGAGTATTTAATGTTCGCCTCCGCCCGAACTAAACACGTTTGTACTTGTTTTTTTTCTTTTAATTGTTACCAAATTCACTGCAGAAGATTTAACACACATTTTTTTAACGGTGATTCAAAAGGATCGTTGGGTTGGGAGTTGATAGGTTAAACTGTAAGAAAAAAGCTGACCACTCTTGTTTTCAAAATGGCGGCCAATCTACAACCCGCCAAAAATCGTAAGAACCCCGTTATTTCACATAACGGTAGATAGGATTATTACAAAAATGTATCAATAGCGACTTAAATTATTCCAATAACTTAACTTTTTTTAATTTATTAATTTCTTTAAATGTAAATAGTACATACGGATCTGAAATGAGAACCAAGAAAACCTGTACGTATGTACCTTAGACCTTCGCACATCCATAAGCACCAGGCACTCAACATTTTAATTCAAGTTGAAAGTAACAATGTGTTGGTGTATGGCGCGAAGCCATGGACAATGAAAACATCTGATGAAGCGGCTTTTGGAGTTTTCGAGAGAAAGATTCTAATAAACGATTCTAGAATATCTAAATTAAAATACCTTCTCCATCCTCCTTCTCGTAGACTTTATATTTTTGCTTATTGAACCAGCTTGGTGGCCACTGTGTGATTTACTAACACTCCACGAAATACATACATATATACATAAGTATGTATGTATCTCTCTGCAAGTGCGAAAGACCAACTGGTACGATGAGGAATATCTGNTGTACGTATCTCTCTGCAAGTGCGAAAGACCAACTGGTACGATGAGGAATATCTGGAAGCTGCAGAGAAAAAAGATGTCGACTACAGGGCCACGCTGCGATCGGGCGCAATGCGCGCTATGTGGGACCGCTATAGGGAGCTGAAGAGGGAAACGAGACCTATTTGCCGTAATAAGAAGAGAGAGGCCGAAATACGTGTATGCGCAGAGCTTGAAATGCTGCCCGACAGGAAGAATGCCCGAAAAATTTTACCAATGAGTTGGGCGATTTGCGAAAGGTTTCAATACCAGGACGTACTCCTGTAAGAACAACAATGGCGACCTAGTTACCGATGTCCAGAACTTACCTAAATTATGGAGAGAACACTTTTCCACCCTACTGAATGGTAGTAGCACGAAAAGTTGTGGAGGAGAAGAATCCGACCCCCAGTCGATGATTGCGCAGTCAATGTTCCACCGCCTGACTATGACGAGGTACGAATAGCAATAACGCGGCTGAAAAACCACAAAGCTGCTGGAGCTACAAGCCTGCTAGATGAGTTGTGAATTAAAATACAGCGGCTCCACTATTTAGCTTGGCCATGTCGTTCGAATGCACCGACGCTCCACCTCTGAAAGTATTCAACTCGAAAACCGCTGGTGGTAGCAGAGGAAGAGGGAGGCCCCACTGCGATGGAAAGACCAGGTGGAGAAGTTGGCACAGAAGAGAAACGACTGGCGTGCTTTGTTGACCTCGGCCAAAATAGCTTAGACGGTTACAGCACCAAATAAGAAGAAGAAGAGTATGTATCTCTAATGAACGAGCTGCTGGCGAAAGTNACACAAAAGAGAAACGACTGGCGTGCTTTGTTGACCTCGGCCAAAATAGCTTAGACGGTTACAGCACCAATTAAGAAGAAGAAGAGTATGTATCTCTAATGAACGAGCTGCTGGCGAAAGTGATATCAGAAATTGATATCGGTCGTTTAATAAATTAACTTTATTTCCGGTGATGTATGTATGTATGTATACAATAATGGAGTTAGAAACCACCAGTACTTGTCGAAGCGGCATGTTCAAAGGTCGTAGAAAGAATAGTGCGAATTTGTTTACGTCAGCACCCCTTGGATTAGAAGAACAAATGAACATCAGAAGCATATAATGTATGAACATATATAGTGTATATGAACATAATATTTTTCCAAAACAAAACAAGAGCCTCTAAATCCGCTTAAGATTAGGGATTTCGCAATTGTTGCCATTTTGGCAGGCATACGCTCTTTTTGAACTCATAACATGTGAATACAAATTAAAGTACACATATGTATGTATGTATGTGAATATGCATGCATGTAGTATGTATGTATGTTTGTATATTTATGCATCCGCGTAAATAAAAAATGTTTGAACCCAAGTCGAAGGAGCTAAACAAAAGTATCACATTACTAAGTATTCAAATATTGAAAAACTGTTCAAGCAGAGGAAGTAATTCATACATATATGAGAGTCATTTCCGTGTTGTGGCAATTTCTAGTTAGGGATACGGACATTAGATTGGGTCGCGAAAGAAGTTTTGTAATTATAATTACAATTTAAATCTAGAAAGGGAAGTATTATTAATAACTGCCCAATTTCGCATGGTTATATCTGGGCTGAGATCTTCCAAGATTTCCGCTTTGTCCGATGGTGTGTCCGATAACTAAGCGAACAACTTTCAGACGAGCTCCTGTGTAGACTTGAGCTCTTTTATTGATTGCCCGCCTTTTCGATTCGACGTCGAAATCCAGAATTATATGTTTTCGCCCACCCCTAAGTTCAATTGCACCTCCACGAAGACCCACATTGAGATCTTTTTATGTTTCCCTGCGTACTTCCCGTACGAGGGCTATCTAGGTACAAGTGTTGGTGGGAGGGTTAACTCTATCGAGTGTTTTTTAGTGGCTGCCATCGGAGAGCTCCGGAATGCCGCAGTTCAATTAAGGCAAAGGTTGTATCTCTTATCGGTTTTTTAAGGTTGCGGTTTTACGTTTTGTATCCATACTTGGTTCTGTGGTTAGCAGGGAAGAGCGTATTGTTCTGCCGGGCAGAGATTCGCTATATCCATAAAAGGGTTGGCAACTTCGGCCAGCATCCAAAGCACAACGCCCGAAAGGAGTTTATGGAAGGCCCAGCCTCGGCAGGGATTAAGTGAAATCTTAATTCAAAAATAATGGGGGGTTTGACTTAAATTATCTCTGAAATGTGTTAAAAAGGAGTGCATTACAAATTATGGCAAAGAGTATCAATACAACAAAAATATGTCCTTCAAAAAATAGAAAATGTTCTTCTTGATCATTCAGTAAACAGTTGAAAACACAACAATATAGAGAAAGCTATTAAAGCAATAAGAAGAAAATTAAAAAGAGGGAGGGTATATCGAATTATCATAAAATAGTGGAACATCTTAATGTACCTTTGTACATATACATACATTCATAGATATGTAAGTAAACTACCATTTGTAGTATGTGCTTAGGCATCTAATCTAGTTTTCAAACTCAAAATTACTCAAAATCATTTACTTTAATT